GTTGTAAAGAAAAAAATAAACTGTGTCAGTTGTTTTGGTAACAGGAACAAGTTATATGTTTGTTTTCTTGGGGTTTCTTTTTTTTGAGGGGGAGGGGGGAAGATGAGGCATTTTTTAAAATCATTATTATAAGATTTTTGTTTTAATTTCTTTTTCTCTTAAATTACAAACATTGTAAATTAAATGCTTTTAAAGCACAAAAGGGAATGAATTTTGTGTTTAAATTTCATTCTTCATCAGTCTCTGACTCTGTTTTGTTTGTTTTGAACATATTTTATTGTATAATTCATACAAAGGGAATGGTAACAAGTTCTTACAACTTAGAAAAATCTTTCTCATTGTAAAGTTTGCTCAATTTCTAGAACTGTTTTTGCAATAATTATGATAAAAACTTTGATTGTATGATGATGCAAAAATTATGTTGATTTAGATAACTCAATTTGTTCAAGATATGTCACTTAAAAATAGAAAATAAAGTAGACTATAACTTGACAGATTATAATTCCAGTCATAAACATTTGTTGATCTATGAAAAGTAACCTCCACAAGGCAGCATTTGACAAAATGTTGTACATAAAATGTAAATAAACCTGAGATAAATCAAAATATCTTGATCTTCTTCAGAGAAGGCTACATTTTAATACCCCCACTTTGAATGATAGGGGTCATCCAGGTTCAATCAAGGGTGTACGAGGATATACCCTGGGTTTTATTCCATGCATCCTAAGGCCCTTGGCCTCAGACATTGCCGTTCAGTGGATAGACACCCCCTCTCAATGGTTACACACGCTCTCTCAGTAGTTGGACATGCCTACTCATTGGTTAGACACGCCTACTCAGGGGTTAGACACGCCCACTCAGTAGTTAGACACGCCCACTCAGTAGTAAGACACACCATATAGCCACATCCAATTACTGGTTACACACGCCTGGTCGGTGGTTACACAAGCCTGATTAGAAGTTAAACACACCCTTTCAATAGTCAGATACGTCCACTCAGTGGTTAGACACACCCACTCAATGGTTACAGAAGCCCACTAACTGGTTAAACACATCTTCTCAATGGTTACATGCCCACTCAGTGGTTAGACACACCCACTCATTAGTTACACACACCAACTGTGGTTAGACACACCCACTCATTAGTTACACACACCAACTGTGGTTAGACACACCCACTCATTAGTTACACACACCAACTGTGGTTAAACACACCCACTCATTAGTTACACACACCAACTGTGGTTAGACACACCCACTCATTTGTTACACACACCAACTGTGGTTAGACACACCCACTCATTAGTTACACACACCAACTGTGGTTAGACACACTCACTCATTAGTTACACATACCAACTGTGGTTAAACACACCCACTCATTAGTTACACACACCAACTGTGGTTAGACACACCCATTCAGTGGTTTCACAGGCCCACTCTGTGGTTAGACAAACCCATTCAGTGGTTACACAGGCCCACTCTGTGGTTAGACACACCCATTCAGTGGTTACACAGGCCCACTCTGTGGTTGGACACACCCAATCAGTGGTTACCATTAGCCATGCCCATCAGTGGTTAGAAATACCCACTCAGTTGTCACACACGCCAACTCAGTGGTTAAACACAACTTCTCACTGGTTAGACACACCAGTAAGTGGTCCGATATGCCCACAAAGTGGTTCGATATGCTCACTCAGTGGTTTCACACGCCCACTCAGTTGCTAGAGAGATGTATAGTGGCCCAGGGGTATTTTTTTTGAACGGTTATTTGGGGTTTTATAATTGTTTCATTACTTATGCAGCAATATACCTTCATCACCTGCATACGGAGTGTATATATCTCAGTTGATTCTATACGCAAGAGCATGCTCTATGTATGAACAATTTCTAAGACGAGGTAAATTATTATCAAGCAGTTTGATGAAACAAGAATATCAGCAGTCTCATTTAAAGTCATCATTTCGTAAGTTCCATGGTCGATACAATGACCTTGTCAGTAAATATAATTTATAATTGAGGTACATGTAAAACTGCTTGGTGTTAAAATTTTGAGGTTATCGCGATCGTGTGCATGTCTTTAACCTAAAAATAATCCACATAAAGACAAAATTTCAACTCATTTTTACGTGTCTTTCTCGCTTCATATTTGATACGTTGACTTTGGGAATTTAGCGCAGCATGAACCACATTTGAAACCATTATGAAAAAATAAAAATGTCATAATTCTGTCAAAAATCATTGAAACTACATTCAAAATCGATTTGTATCTCAAAATACACTCACTTCACCTTTACACTCACCTACCTAAAATCAGCTCTATACATGTATCTGCAACTAGGGTTTAAAAAACCAAGTAAGACAGACAGACTAACAGACTCAGAGGAGGCCTGTAGTCTCCTCCGGTTTCACCGGTAGGGGACTTATAAGTGGGGGGGGGGGGGGGGTAGATATTTTCCATTGCAATTAAGTTTTTAAATTTAAATTATCACTATATTTGAAATATTCTTGGATATAAGTGAATGTTCAATAAATCTTTTATTTTATTTTAAGTCTATTAAAAAATCAATCATATATTATTAACAAGGTTTCTGAGAGTACAGTGTATTGTATAAGCATGAACGTCCCCTACCGGATTCCCCTTCTCTCTGTAAGATAGGCAGCAGCTCCTTTGGAATATTACATTAGTGTATCACGAACCCGATCATACCCAATTGTAATCCCAATAATTATTGTAAAAAAATTAAAAATGTCATAATTCTGTCAAAAGTCAAATGAATGATGCAAGATGAAATTCAAAGTTCACCTGTACACTCACCTACCTGAAATCAGCTCAACATCTGCAAGCGATTAGAAACAAAAGTGTGGAAAACCAACTGGGACAAACGAAAGGACAGAGGGACGTGTGATCAGAAAAGCTCATTTGAGCTTTCAGCTCAGGTGATCTAAAAAGGTTATATTAGAAAAAAAACCTTTAAAATTTGTGGTTGGAAGAATAAGACAGAGTGACTACTATAGGGCACCCGCAAATCCTTGTACAGCTGGATTTATCTACCTATTCTCCTAAAATGGACCAAGCTGAGCTATATTGCAAACAGCAAGCACAATCAGTTTTGATGTTAAATTTTATTTATTAATTGGATTTCCTGTTATAAAAAATAAAATTTTTAATGTAAAAAAAATCTAAAGTTGTAAAGCAAATTTAAAATATTTTTATAATTATACATATATCAATGAAAACATAAATAAACTTTCAATCAAGAACAATTTATACAATCATGACATGTACTTCATATAAACAAAAAATAAACCTTTTATACATGTTGAATTTGCAGTTCATAAAGCTATCAATAAAAATTATAGTTAATATTGCACTCTGTTTTATATGAACAATATCTCCCACACGATCATTTCTATGTATATATACAAAACAAAAAAATTAAATAAACTTAAAATATGAAAATTTTTTGCACTACCTATATAAATTTTCAATACATAGAAAAATTGTTAAACATTTAAACTACACTAAAAATATTAAAAAAGAATCATCATCACAAATAAATTATGGCTAAGAACTGCGAACGATAGTATTGTTCTCCCGCCTACCTCCAAGTCAATTTTCAAAAGTTAACATGTTCAATTAATTTTTAATATTTTTTTAATAGATAATTATATGGATTTTCATAAAGCATTACTCATTTGGGAAAACAAAGAGAGATAACTAAACTTTTGGTAAAACTTGTGTTTTTCACTATAGAAATCAAAGGAAAACGGAAAATATTTTTAAAACATCTTTCCCCCCAGTGTTACAAAAATTCCTTTTTACAGGTAATTTGAAATTTTATTTCACAAATTCATACCAAAGCTTTTTGAGTTACACGGGGTGGAACATATGTTTATTGACAAAAAACGATAAAAAAAAATGCTTTTTTTCCACCAATTTCAAAGCGATTTATATTTGAAACATTATATTTTATTGATATATTTATGTTTTATTTATTTGTCTAAAACATTAAAAAAGATATAAGGAACATTTAATCATTTCCAAGACTTTTTCAAAATATGGTGATCCTTTAAACTCCGATTTTAGTGGAAAATGTCGTCTACCCCCCTTTTTTAAGAGCTGGAATTATGGATAATTTACTGTTTAGCGCTGGTATTAAGACAGTTATTCAATTACCATTTAATTGTTCTTTGTATTAAACAAAGACTTTATGGTTAAATTGCTATTTATATTGAATTAAATGGTTCCAAAATGTAGGCGGGAATCGAGAGTTACCGTGCGTATTTCTTAGCATGATAAGACAACTTCATGTAAAATCATATATTCAAAGGAATGTGAGGTTTTTTGCTTGATTTTACAGAGCTTATAATCAACAGCAAACTTAATACGTAGTACTAGATAATAAAATATTTTTTTTTAAAAATTGTAACAATATATCACATGAAGGTGAAGTGTTTAATAAGCATGATAAGATTTGATAATAATTCATTTTTTTAGCAAGATCAAATGTTTAGCATGGAATGATAGCGATCCAAGTTCTTTGTGGGTGGATTTTAGTGTTATACTGAACTTAAGCGATTTGTGAAGGGTTGACTGTGATTCAAGTTCTGTATTATAAGGTGGCTTCTGATATGTTCAGTTTGATAGAATGGACTAAAATTCTTTGTGGATGGATATGGATCTTAGTTCTTTGATGGTGAAAATGGATGCCAATTCTTTGTGCCTGGATGGATATGGATCTAAGTTCTTTGTGGGTGGATATGGATCTAAGTTCTTTGTGGGTGGATATGGATCTAAGTTCTTTGTGGGTGGATATGGATCTAAGTTCTTTGTGGGTGGATATGGATCTAAGTTCTTTGGGGGTGGATATGGATCTAAGTTCTTTGTGGGTGGATTGTGATATGTTCAATCAGGTAAGATCAGGCTATAAGTTCATTTGTGGTTGAGGTAATGTTGGGAAGGGGGGGGGGGGGTGTTAAGGATTTATGTTAATGAAACAGTTTGTCAATGAACAAGTTTGAATTATCCCTTATGGATTTCATAACAAATCTGACATATCTAGTCATAGTGTAGATCAATAGTACAGTATGTTGTATGGGAACTTGTATTAAATATACACTGTATATTTATAGAGAAATTAATTGCAAGTATACACCATATATGATGAAAAACAACAAATTAAAATTTGGTTTGACCAAATTAAAAGTATTTGTCAAAAAAATTTCAATATCAAATTAACAATTGCGTAAATACCAAGACTTGGAACAGTTATCTAGTAACAATATAAACAAATCACATTCATGTATGTATAACCATCTCTAACACAGCGATTCAAAAGTGAACAAAAGATGACGTCCAGCCAGTCGTAGAATCTATATACAATGTAGCACCAAGTTCCTCATAGTCAGTGCACCTTAAATTAACATACTGTAGATTCATAATTATACGCAAGGAATAAATTTCTGCGTAATTTTGCGAGAAGCTTCACTCATTATATTATATAATTATATAATTATAATTATCGCGATTTGACATTAAAGACCCATTCACGATAACAAGAACTTGCAAAAAAGAAGAAATCTACAGTACTACAAATGGAGTGAAAATAAAAAGTCAGGATCTAGATTTGACAAATCCTGTTCATTTTTTTGTATATAATTAGCAGTTTTTTTTTAGTAAAGTGAGTCATTCCCTTAATTAAATTCATAAGTTCACAATACTATTGCCTAGCATATAAATAATTTATGGCACCTCATGCATTTAGTAAAACGTAATTATTCAACATAACATTTCTATCAAACTTAACAAACTATTATATATTAATTAAATGTTATTGTTTTCATACACGACCTGAAGTGATTTAAATCACAAAAGGTTTTGTTTTGTAGAAGTCACCAAAAAAAAAAAGATTAGTGTCAGACTACTCACTGGGACGATCTTCTTCATTCAATGGGGGTTATGTCATTTAACCCCCCCCCCCCCCACCACCACCACCTTTCTGTATGGGTGGGTGAGGGTCATGTAAGATCTGAAGAGATGGGTGTGTTATTCTACAGACGGTCAGGGTGTTGAGGGACATTTCATTCTATGGGGGTGATGTCACTCACAACCCTGTGAAGTTCCTGTATTGCTGGTACGTCTGTTTGTAAAACACCTGATAATTTTGATATAATACCTTTTGCCTCCTTCAGAAATGTGGACTCTGTCATAAAAAAAGAAGAAATTTGGAAAAAAGAAACACAGAGATTTATTTAAAGTTCTTCTGAATATATGTAAAGTGCTCTTGTGCTGTGACTACAGATAAGTGGATGTAATGTGCTCTTGTGCTGTGACTACAGATTGGTGGGTGTAAAGTGCTGTTGTTCTGTGACTATTGGTGGATGTAAAGAGCTCTTGTGCTGTGACTACAGCTTGGTGGATGTAATGTGTTCTTGTGTTGTGACTACAGCTTGGTGGACGTAAAGAGCTCTTGTGCTGTGACTATTGGTGGATGTAAATTTATTATTTGGTCCAGCATAGTTTTTTAACCTAATTGGAGTATGCTGAATCCGAAAAAATATGCTGGCCTTCATGAAAATGGCGTTAACGAGGTCAAAATGGCGATTCAAAATGGCGGACATCCAATTAATTTAATTTTCTGTTTATCTCGTTTAAAATGGAGAAGTAATGACTGAATATCTTACTGAGTGTAATAAAACTATAAAAATATAATAAAATGCTAACATTATTAGCTTAACTCAGAAAATTTAGCCGTTTTTACACTTAATTCGAATTTTCTCTGATTTATTTGTTCTTTATTCTTCTTTGTTCAGGATTTTACATTTGCAAATATCCATACACTGCAGATTTGTATTTTTCCTCTACATCTCACTATTCTACAATTGAAAGATGGTGCAGCTGTAAGTTAAAAGTCAAAATGGCGATTCAAAATGGCGGATATTCCTTTTTTCAAATTATTTCTTAATGTCTTTTACATAGGAGGAATGATTTGTGAATATCTTACTGAGCGAGTACAATTAACTAATGTAAAATTCCAATAGAACATTAATATGAACACTTTAAAACGGAAAATATATTCGTTGAAATTTAAATGTGATAATCAGCTCAAAACTTAAAATGACGTCATATTCACTCGTATTTGGTAAAATACTCAAACTGCTTAATTTTGAAAATAAATAACAGTTTGTTTTTATATATATTTATAGTACATTGATTATTCCATTAAAAATGAACAAACAAAAAAGATCAGAGAAAATTCATTTTTTTCTGGAAATAGTTAAAACAAACTCGACTTCAGTTTCCAAATTTTCCGGCTCGTATTTGACCGCGTATCAAAGCCTTTGAGCCCCCGTCCACCTAAAATCACTCCTGAATCCACTCTTTATCAACTCGCATTTCTACCTCAACATCCCTCAGCATACTATCAAATATAACTAAGGAAATTCTTTTCCGATTTCATCGAATACTTTGTTCTAGCTTTTTAGCACTTATAAGAACTTAGTATTATCCCCTAACATCTTCTATTCATGCAGCTTTATTTTATATGTCACTCTGTCTTCGAAAATTTGGTATTTTCAACACTCAAGTAAAACGGTGCCTTATGTCAAGCATGACAACCAACTTGGCACGTAAAAGATCTTTTCTCTGAAGTTCGAAAAAGAGTAAGCTCACAGGGGGCCACCAGAGAAACCAAAATCCTCCAAAAACCGAATATTTAAACTGATAGTCCCCCGAAACATGGCTGAAAATAGCCGACTCGGCATTAAACAATATACAATCAATCAACATTTAAGGAACAATACATTTATGTTCAAATGTTAAAAGTCTATTTTGTTTTCCAAAACCTAATGCAAAATGAAGAAGAGGTACTGTGAGCAATTAGCTCACTAAATGATATTCCCGTCACCCATATGAAAACAGTGTCCATGTTTTGCTATGTGAAACCCAAAATATGTGTCAGATCTAAAAGAAGAGGTGCACAATGGCAATATGTAAAACAATTCTGTAAAAGTTTATCAAATTTTATTTAGTGGTATGAGACGATTTGCGGATAAGAGACGGGTACCCCAAAGCGTAAATACGGACGGACGGACATACCGACTTCTCTATACCCTCCCGCTATACCCTCAATCGGTGGGGGTGTATAAAAAAAATCTCTGATATTTAAGACATGTAGCTCTTTATTTCGTGACCACGTATAGATTTGTTTTCTTTTAGGGGAAGAAAGGTCATTCTATTAGCAAGAAAATTCTCAAACTTTATCATCTGGAATAACATTGTGTGCATATTTTGGTGAGAAAAGTTGTAAAATTATGCAAACTAATGTAAATGTAAACTCATGTAAATTAGCGCCTGCAGATTCCTCGTGATTCCTATCACTTACAAGGTTTCGTACCAATAGGCCTAAGCCATTCTTGACTTCGATCTAGTCAGCACTTCTCCTGACAACAAAATTTTCTTGAACACTCCAAGAACTTTACAAGGCAACTTGATCCACACTTCTTCGTTAGGATAGTGTGAAGTTGTAAATGTATCAAGAATTGAGGGAGGATTGAACACAATCATTTTCTTCTTTCAGATTTTGTAAATTTCAAAATTTTTAATTTATATACACTGTTCAGTACAAAATTGGTGGAGGAGGACCGTTCACACCATGAAATATTTGAGAATGCAGTTGAATTTTTGACTGAGAATAACAAAATCCAAATGTAGGTCCACAGAATCAGAGCTGGACAATCAAAAAAAATTATGGTTTACGTACATTATACTGATAATTCTTAATAAATGTTTATGTTTGGATATCATAATATATTCAGATTTATGTGATGTAACAATTACCTCTCTAATTAAGCCCTCTAATTGCTCGTGGTTCATCATTTTAAAAATCATACTAAGTTATGTTGCACTAGATCTTCCACATGAACATAAACTTTTTTTTTCTACTCTGGACTAAATTAGATCAAGAATTTCCAACCACTGATATGATTTAGCAACCCTCGAATTACAATGTTTACTCGCCTTAATGCTCGGTGAATACTGCTCTTGGGGTAGCTTAATTTTCATATTGTCGTCAAAACAGCAATTATTGTATGATATTATTAACTTTTTATGGGAAGAAGCACATGATACATGTATGGCGAATAATAGGTGAAATGTCTTCGGAATTGTCGTCAAAAATTTATCTTAATGATAGAAGTAATTAAACAAAAATCTGCTTTATTAAAATCCTAAGTCATTAATGAAAATATCCATTAACTTCTATTACATATTTGAACATTATTTCATGAATAAAGAAAAACCTGTTATTTATTTTCTGCAAAACAAATCAGAATTAAGTAGTTTGGGTATTTTACGAAATCGAGTGTATAAAACTCCATTTGAATTGCCATTTTGAGCTAAATAACACATTTTAAATTTAAATGACTAAATTTTCCGATTTAAAGTGATCATACTAGTGTTCTGTTGGAATTTTACGTAGTTGTACATCGCTCAGTAAGATAATTATCAATCATTTATCCTATATAAAAGACATTAAGAAATAATTTGAAAAAAGGAATATCCGCCATTTTGAATCGCCATTTTGACTTTTAACTTACAGCTGCACCATCTTTCAATTGTAGAATAGTGAGATGTAGAGGAAAAATACAAATTTGCAGTGTATGGATATTTGCAAATGTAAAATCCTGAACAAAGAAGAATAAAGAAACAATAGACAAATAAATCAGAGAAAATTCGAATTAAGTGTAAAAACGGCTAAATTTTCTGAGTTAAGCTAATAATGTTAGCATTTTAATAAATTTTTATAGTTTTATTACACTCAGTAAGATATTCACTCATTACTTCTCCATTTTAAACGAGATTAAAGAGAAAATTAGATAAATTGGATGTCCGCCATTTTGAATCGCCATTTTGACCTCTTTAACGCCATTTTCATGAAGGCCAGCATATTTTTTCGAATTCAGCATACTCAAATTAGGTTAAAAAACTATGCTGGACCAAATAATAATTATTTGCCGTTAGAAATTATTTCTAGCCTTCTTTTTAAAAATCAGGACCAGACTATTGTGATGCGACTACAAATTGATGGATGTAAAGTGCTCTTGTGCTGTGACTACAGATTGGTGGATGTAAAGTGCTCTTGTGCTGTGATTACAGATTGGTGGATGTAAAGTGCTCTTGTGCTGTGACTACAGCTTGGTGGATGTAAAGTGCTCTTGCGCTGTGACTACAGCTTGGTGGATGTAAAGTGCTCTTGTGCTGTGACTACAGCTTGGTGGATGTAAAGTGTTCTTGTGCTGGACTATTGGTGGATGTAAAGTGTTCTTGTGCTGGACTATTGGTGGATGTAAAGTGTTCTTGTGCTGTGACTTCAGCTTGGGAGATGTAAAGTGTTCTTGTGCTGTGACTACAGATTGGTGGATGTTAAGTGTTCTTGTGATGTAACTACAGATTGATGGATGTAAAGTGTTCTTGTGCTGTGACTACAGATTGGTGCATG